AAATATGGCACCTAGATGATAGCTGTCGCATGAGCAGCGATAAGAGCCGGGAGTGTTGGTGCAATTTCCGTCGTGCATGCATGGGAATCGCATACATTCATCGATGTCAATGTCACAGCGTGCACCCTTCCAACCCGGTTCACAATCGCATAGAAAATCACCAATCACTGGTCGACATTCGCCATGAACACAAGGCAGTGTTATACAGAAATCCTTGAAATCATCGCAGGTTCGACCTGAAAAAAAATGCCTCAGCTTGTCATGAAGAAGTCATGGAGGAATCGGAAACTGCCGTATTTAAATGAAAAATGAAAAAAGCTCTTCTGTTCCCCTCCTCATCAGTAGTATTTTTTGTAGGCCCGCTTCGTATTGTCAATATAGAAACAATTACAAAAGTGAGATAGGAAATAAATGCTCAAAGTACGCACCGATCAGCTGAAGGCGCTTTACAGCCTACAGCTGTAAGAGGGTATCTTTTTAAAACAATTAAAACGCTGTTGAAGTAAATGTAATGAAACGAAACTTCCCAAAAGCGTTAAATTTTTGTAACTGAAACTGCGGATTCCTGCCCCGTTAGTAACGCTCTCAAAATCAGCAAAAAAGACTTTGATCCATCTTCCCATTCGTTGGTCTAAGTAAAGTACCTTCAAAGCTGTCAGTGCATAAGCATTCGAAATCGTCCTCTTTTGACAGGCAAGTTGCTCCGTTTTTGCATGGATTCGTTTCGCACATATTTTTCTGCATGTCGCAAAGGATACCCTCAAATCCTGGCAGGCATTCGCATTTGAATGTATTCTATAAGTGGAAAAAAGTGTTTGGATTTTCAATATGATTTTTCACAATAAAAATTTAGCTGTAAGAAATTGGTAGCGTACATCTTCTACCGTATAAAAATTTCACCTTAAAAAAATACATCTTCTGTCGCCAGAAAGTTTTTACATTGACAAGAGAATTATCAGGTCTTTCTTCTAATAACTCCTTCCCGCAACAAGTTTACTTTTCTACCAAAAATTCACATCTGAAAACTCAGTCGTGATGTGGAAGTCGTAACAAACTAGACGCTGCTGAAGTACAACGGAGTACAAGTCCTGGCAATCAACTTCTCAGAAACACACTGTGCCTTTTGGCCCATTTGCCTGCTAGAAACCTGTGTCTTTTCTATAACGGCTGGTATTCCTGGCACGTTTACTACTGCAACAGAATTTTGTACTGTACGGAAGCCTGGTTTTTCTAAAAAAAAACCCGTCTGTAATGAAGAGTAATTCAAACACCCCCCAGTAATGCAATAAAATCAAAGTCAAAGCCTTGATTTCATTTTTTTATTGCACAGCAAACCAATAAAAACCAAACTTGTGACTTTGACTTGTCAAACATTTTTATTGCACTTCGTTGCAATAAAAATCATATAATAAAAATGCTTCCTTGCTAAAGAAGCGCAGAAACAGCTGAATGGAGGTGGGGGGCTTTTCTGTTCACAACGTTAACCAGAAATATGTAAAAGAAAGCACAAGACAATAGCTAACTTCAACTTCGATACACTTCGCTCCATTTTCGCATGGTGTTGACGAACACTTCGACGTTTTCTGTAACACGAGATATATCAAGAGAATCAACATAAATACCAGAAATAGAGCACTTTGCTCACTTGAACCAGTAAAAGTATCAAGTTCTGAGCAGCAATAGATATTACATACAGGTCAAAACTCAAAACTCCTTAGCAATCGTTCTTTATGCTAGGAAGAGAACTGAGGTAGGCCCACTGGTGACGCGTGATAA